GCCCCCCCCCCCCCCCCCCTATGTTTGGGCTTAGGATGTCGAGTGTCGAAGCTTCAAGATATTGGGGCATCTAGGGATGCTATGGCTGCCTGACAGATGTTATCAGAACCCGTAAACGTGACCCTGAACAATGAACGACTAGGCCCTGCAAGATTTTGTAAGGGTTCTCAGAGGGTTTAGGGTGTGCTTAAAGAACCAGAGAATTAGTAAGTACGACAACCAAGACAACTTCATGTGCAACTACTGGTTACCCGGTTAAAGGCACTTATAGCTTACAAGCCTGCATACATGTACCCCCAGCCCTTGTAGCACCCTATAGAGTCGCATGATCGTTTTAGTCTGCATAAACACCCTCGTGAGGACCACCCCATATCTGCCTGCAGGTCTGACACTTTGGTGGAGCTGAACTGAGGCAAACACGCTTCGAGTCCGCCGCCACCAGCGTTCCATAAATTATGTTTTAAAGATTCGCTCTTCTTATCGCTCAAACCCCATAATGGGGCTTCCGTTTCGTCCTGGCTTGGCCCTAAATCGCCATCCGCATTCCGCATGACCTGCACGGATGCCAGTTCCGATCCGTCAGCTCTGCGGCGGTGGAGGTGCTGTTTAGGGTTTTGGATTTAGGGTTTNNGGTTTACCCTAAACTAAACCCTAAACCCTAAACCCTAAACACAAACCGTTAGGGTCCGGAAAAGACAAACTACTCTAGAGTTTCCGGTTGCGGCCACGCAAGGTCGTCGGGATGTGGATGTTACGAAGGATCTCGGAGTCTTGGGTCTCCGGACGTAGGGCGACGTAGGGTTTAGGGTTAGGGTTACGTAGGGTGTGTAGGTTTTCCACTTTTTTGCTTCTGTGTGCAAGGTTGCAGGGTTTTCGGTTTAGCCAGCTGATTCCGGGCTCATCCAGGACCTGCTTGGCTTCTGGGAAAGGGGGTGCCGAAATACATGCAGGCCCTCTTCTCTGGGAGTTGTCATGCTGATTTCTATACGACTCAGGGTTCAGGTTTGCAAAAGGTTTCTGAGATTCTCTGAGCCGTCAGGATCACAAGCGACATGCTTTAATGTGAGCCCCTAGCCCAGAACTTGCAGGCAAGATGGTTGACTCAAGTCCTACATCCTAGTCTGCAGCTTAGCTTCAGTTGTACTTAAACACAAAACCCTGTTCTAGTACTTCAGGCTTTTACATTACGCGACATGGTTCTTGACAACCACCCAACGATTGCCGGTGTTCAAGGAAGGCGTTTTTTTTGCCCTCTCCAGATGGACTCCATGCTGATCACCAAGTCCGAAACCCTCCTCTGGGAATCCTTGCCCATCAGACATAATTACTGTTAATTGGATTTAGGGATTGGTGCTTAAGGTTCAGGGTTCGGTGTTTCATAGGGTTTAAGGTTCAATTTTTGAAGAGTCTACTAGAGAGAAACTATTTAAAGACAACGCTGCTCCCAGACCACGAAGTATTAGTAGACCCAGTTGTGCGTGTTTTGGACTTCTGAATTTCTGCCAGACCTGCCAGTTCAGACCCGACAAGGATATGCTTGCCGCAGAAGCGGAGGGTGAACTCGCTGGAGGAAAGCAAGAGCTGCTCTTGAACAAGAATCTCAGACTCCAGAATAATTTGGAGTCTCCGAGAACAAGTCTTGCAACGCACAGCTGTACAAGTTGGGGTCCTACGGCCTGAGCCCCAAAAAGCAGCCTAATCCCTAAACCCCTATAATTACTTCAAAGCCGACACCCCAAGCGAGGATGACGACCCCAACGTTGACGGCGCGTTCATTGCTGCGTCTTAATTATGGCCCTAAAACCTTGTGTTGATGATATAAGTCCTGCATTACCTTAAGGACCTTAAACTGTATGGGAATTATGGTATAGTATTTTCGGGGTATAGAAACCCTAAACCCGGGATTTACATCATCAACCGTCTTGGCTGCAAACCCCGTGCCTTTCAGTTTGCGCGTGAGTGGTTTGCTGCACACAACGTTTGTAACTGTAAGGGCAGTTTTAGGGTGTAGGATTTAGGGTTTAGGATTTAGGGTGTAGGGTTAAGGGCTAAGGGGTCCATGTTTCATATGGGTGGTTGTCAAAATTATGGTCCCTTTTTGGGTCCTTATTTTAATACGGCACCTATTATTTAGGGTACCCCAAAAGGGACCCTAATTTTGACAACTACCCATATGGCCTCTAAAGAGCCAACCCACCCCAAAAGCCCTCCTAGCCCTAAACCGCCGCAATGGGGACCCTGGGGCCCTAGGTGTTATCCTTACTATCCTTACGGTTTAGGGTTTAGGGTTTAGGGTTTAGGGTTTAGGGTTTAGGGTTTAGGGTTTAGGGAGCTTAGCCTAAGGCTCAGGTGCTCGCCCGACAGCTTCTCGCAGCCCCCCCCGCGACGATAAGCATCGTCACAGATCCAGGGCTAGCACCGTCACCGTCATCCTCGTTACGACCACCACAGATCCGTCATGAATATGCTACCCTCATGACCATCAGCACCATCATCACTACGACCATCATCCCCAATCCTATCACCCTCATCATGTTGGTCGACCGCAGCCGTCGATGATGGGCTTTGTGATCATGAGTGCCATCGGCTCTCGCCACGGCCACCACCACCACCACCAGCAGTTCCATCCATAATCATCCCCATCGTCATCAGGACCCGGCACCACCCGTCAATATCATCATCATCATCATCATCATCATCCCATGTTCTCCCATCGCCACCCATCACTTTCTATCATTGCTCCTATCAAGCGATGGCCGTTACATGTCTCAGGTGCCGGACCTCCAGTCGCCCATCATCGCCCTAAGCCCTAAACCAAATAATGATGACAGTCGTACAAAGGTTGGGTCAGTGGACCAGAATGACAAGTGGACTCTGTACCCGCCAATGGCGGAATGGCCTCTTGCATGACCGGGCTCCGTGCCTTGTTTCAGGGAAAGCCTCAAAAGCCCTAAATCCTAACAACAATACTCTTAATAATAGCAAGAAGAAGAATAACAGTAAAGAGAACTACGAATAATAACAGTAATATTAACAGTGACTGTACTACTACATAATGGTAATAGCAGTAGTAGTGACATTAATAGCAACAATAGTTGTAATGATAATATGAATAATATGAATAATCATAAGAGTGACAGTCATTATACTAATCAAATAATAACAGGAGCCCCCAAAAGCCCCCAAACCCTAAAAGCCAAACTTCTAGCAGACCTCCGCACCAGCTTGTCATCGAGTGCTGTACAAAGGCCTGCTGAGGATAGGGTTTAGGTTTAGGGTTTAGGGGCCGCAGAACGTGCTTGCCCAGAGGGGTCCAAGGTAAGAATTCAGCGATCTAGGTTTGGATTTGGAGCTTCGGAGTGTTAACCCGAAGCCCTATATCAGGACCCTCTACCCATAGGCCCCATAGTAGTTCCTTTTTGGGGTTACCCTATAGGATTATGAACCCCAAAAAGGAACTACTTTAGGGCCTATGGGTATTGCATACTGATTGGAACGTGAGGACCCCCGGGCTGTCGTTTGAAGCGGGAAGCCCGACCCCTCCGCACAGGAGTCCGGCGCTCCTTAATTGAATCGTGGGGTCGCCAGTGCACCCGTCGATCCGATTTGGGCTGCAGATTCTGATGTGTTGTCTTCGATTAGAAGCTCATGAACCGATCTTCCGAAAAGGCAATATGAGATGGGTGAGAGGACGGGTTTTTCAATTTTTGAAATTGCAAGAGCACAGTACACATCAAGCCTTAAATCGGTTTTGACGATGTGGGGATCCCGCGGACTTTCATGCCATCTTCGGTACATGATGATGGCCCACATCTCAGAAGGCCGACCGCCAGAGCGCAGGGACGTTCAGGCTCAGCTTCTGTTAAAGACTGTCTGCCGGCACGAAGCCGCTTCCTGCTTGCCAACGGCAAAAACCACTGCCTCTTTTTGATTCTTGAACTGCAGGGCCTCTTGGTGATTCGGTTGGTTAGGGGTTTAGGGTCTAGGGTTCTTCAGCTGCATGTCACTGTATCACCCTCGACTTTGCAACAAATGCAGGAGGCACAACAGCCAGTTCTAGGACTATGCGTTCCTCTCGAGGGGTTCATGCGGACCGTAGTAGTGGTGGCTATGGAGGTGTATTCCCGGAGATATCCTTTGGTGGTACACTCGATTGAAACCTTCAACCTTACCGTCCTAAAGCCAAGGTTTAGGGTTTAGGGTTTAGGCGGTTGAGGGTCTAAAGTACAACCAAGTTTGTGGCTGATTTAGGGGCCTGAATATTTACCTGTACTTTTCGAGGTTCCTTGTTATAAATATATAGTACGATATACACCAAAACCCTATTCAAATCCTTAAGTCGCCTGCATTTACCCCCGTAGCATTTCTAGAAAGAAGTTTGAATCATCAAGCGTATGTTCATTGCGGTTTACCGAACAACATTTCCGATCCACGCAGCATTGGGGCCCCGCGGGTGTAGGATTTAGGGTTTAGGGTTTAGGGGTTTAGGGTTTAGGGGAATTTAGGGTGTAAGCCCTGAGAACCACGGGTTTGGGGTTTAGGTTTTAGGGTTTAGGGGTTTAGGGTTTAGGGCTTTGGGTTTAGGGTTTTAGGGTTTATGGTTTAGGGTTTGGAACCTTGATGACCACTTGTTGTAAGCCCGCAAAAGCCGTCAGCGCCCTGTAGAATCGAATGCATATCGAACTTCATTACCCTAGCTACCCGTTTAGCCGGTCATAAACCTTTCTACAGAGCTCCTAAACCCTAAACCCTAAGCCCCAAACCCTCAACCCTAAACCCTAAACTCTTCTCCCCAGACCTCAAACCTTGAATCATCGATGCAGGATCCGGTTCAATGCGTGGCGACCACCAGCGACGGTCGCGCCGTCTCCTGCAGCGCGGGGCCCTACCAGGGTACTTTGCATCTTGGGTTTAGGGGTTTAGGCTATACCGGGTGTTTAGGGTTGATGTGAAGGGTTCTGTAGGTGCTCGTCAGGGGTAGGAATGATTAGGAAGAGTCGCCCCTTATAAACAGATACCTTCGTAAGTAATTCTATTAACATTCCCCCGAAAACCCTACTCAAACTATGAAGGCCCCTTTTATGAAGCAGCATCCGACAGGGCGTCAGGTTTTCTACCAGGAGCTATTTTTCCTGTTGCTCTTTTCTTAGAACCGAGGCCACTAGGATTTGGGGTTTTGGGGTTTAGGGTTTGGGGTTTAGGGTTTAGGTTCAGGTTTTAGGGGTTGGGGCAACTTATGGGTTTAAGGGTTTTGGGCTTGAGATTTAGGGCTTAGGGGTTTGGGGTCTAAGTAGTGTTTTTAAAACCCTGGATCCTAGAACCTAGAAGTAGATAATGTTTTAGTGGATTGTATATGACTATATGGAGCTTATTTTGGGACGATACGCGGATATACCCTGAAACCCTAAACCCTAAACCCTAAACCCTGAAACCCTAAACCCTAAACCCTGAACAGTAAACCCTAAACCCTAAACCCTAAACCCTAAACCCTGAACACTATACCCTAAACCCTAAACCCTAAACCCTAAACCCTAAACCCTGAAACCCTAAACCCTGAAACCCTAAACCCTAAACCCTGAAACCCTAAACTCTGAAACCCTAAACCCTAAACCCTGAAGCCCTAAACCCTAAACCCTGAAACCCTGAAACCCTAAATGGTCATCTTACTCACCGACCCTTGCCATGCCCCCTGCTCCTGGAAGCAGAG